CTCTTCTCCACCATCACCTCATGATAGGCGACCGACAAAGATGCCATGACATTTATCTCCCTGTTCTCCACCTCCACGGGATGAGTTAGGAGAGTTACATGATGAGGTCAATGCCTTGCGTGAGGAGGTTGGTTCTTTACGCGATGACAATGGTGCATGGCGTGACGAGGTATCTACTTTACGTGGTGAGGTAGCAGCTCTACGTGAGATGGTAGTATCGTTGCAAAATGAGGTTCATACTCTACGCAATGAGGTAAGTTTAAGATTTTTCATATTTAACTTGATTTACTCGTAATTTCACTTAGATTAACCATTTCACTTAGATTGCTTAGTAAATTCATTTGGTTGCTGCCAATACTGCTAAACAGTTCTAAAATAACCCTGTGAAGTTAGTATTTGTCTTTGTTTTGTCTTTTGGTTGAAGTAATGCAATCCATTCAACTTTCAATTTGCAGAAGAAGAATAGTCGCAACACGAAACTTAAATCGCAACGCGAAAATGACTATCGCAACGCGGAAATGACTATCGCAACGCGAAGTTGACTATCGCAATGGGATAATCGCAATGCAAAATAAAAATCGCAACGTGAAAATCGCAATGCGAAAATGACTATCGCAACGCGAATTTAGTTTCGCGTTGCGATTTTGGTTTCGCGTTGCGATTTTTATTTCGCTTTGCGATTATCCCGTTGCGATAGTCATTTTCGCGTTGCGATAGTCATTTTCGCGTTGCGATTTAAGTTTCATGTTGCGATTTTAAGTTTCAGAAATTATTATTCTTCTGTAAATTGAAACTTGAATGGATTGAATTACTTCAACCAAAAGACAAAGATAAATACTAACTTCACCGTGTTGCAAATTTTTGAGTTGCGATAATCAAATTCGCGTTGTGATAGTCAAATTTGCGTTGCGATATTCAAATGAATGTGTAATAAGTGATAACAACTGAACATATCATAGCAATGTTCAAACTCAAGTTACTAATACATGTCTAACTGAAAATGATAAAAGTTTACACATAAAATACACATAATAGTCAAATTCGCGTTGCGATATTCAAATGAATGTGTAATAAGTGATAACAACTGAACATATCATAGCAATGTTCAAACTCAAGTTACTAATACATGTCTAACTGAAAATGTTAAAATTTTACACATAAAATACACATAATACAACGTTTGCATTTAAAAATCACCTAAGTTAATAGTCCCAAAAGGTGAAGCCGATTGTGATTGGGATTTTGATTTTGATTGCGATTTTGATTGCCTTTTTCTTGACACCATATGGGCTTTGGATTTTGATGAGGATCCATATTTTGGTAGAGGAAAAGATGATTGATGGCACTGATCCCATGTCAACCTTGTATGACCACTTTCCTTGCCCGACTACATGTCGATCTTCTTCTCTTCACCCTTAGACGGTATACGATCGTGACTTTTTGGTCGGCCAGGTAGCCTTCTGTCCATGGCTGGTGGCAAAACTGTTTGTAAGTCATCTGGTATGTCCCACTCAGAAGGATGTGGAATAGGGTATATAATCTCGGCATAAGTCTGACGATATACTTCTGTAGTATAGTAATCCATAGCGTATGCGTTTGAATCATCTTGGTTTAGATGAAGAGCAACTTTTATAACATGGCCACACGGATAACCAGATGTTTGCCATTTCATACAACTACACATATTTGCATTTAGATCGACAAGCCCCATTTAAGTTATTATCCAGTACTTCAAACAAAGTGTTTGAACATGGTTCAACTCTCCATGACGTTGACTTCACAACACGTTTCGTTATCTTTTTTTCAGTCCATGGTGTAACACGATGTTCCAATGTTCCTGTAAATTTAAATAAATAATACTTAGTAAAATATATGATAAGTTACGAATTTAAAGAAATAATACCTGCATGGTTTCTTTTCTTGTAGTACCACTGTTGAATAGAGGCTCGAAAAAACTCCATTAACATAGTAATGGGTAATTTCCGAGAATGATGACTTAGAGCGTTGATTGATTTTGCACTATTAGACGTCATGAAACCATATCTTGCTCCAAGTTGATGTACTCTTGACCATCTTTCAAACCCGACATCTTCTAGTGTTTGAGCACACTGAGGCAAAACACGTCTTAAACAATTTTTTATACCAGCAGACCTTGATTTTAGATTTTTATACAAATGAACACCACAAAGTCCATGAAAAGCATCTGAGAAACACCTTCTAACAGCGTTGTCAATTGAGTTTGCCCTATCGAATATGATTGTCAGATTGCTAATAGGACATATTCAATCCCTAAGATGCCCCATAAACCATATCCATGAATCAAAGGTTTCAGATTTGCCAACCCCGTAAGCTATTGGCAGTATCCCATTGTTAGCATCCATAGCTACTACTAATAAGTTAACTCCAAGGTATCGACCTTTTAAATGTGCTCCGTCAACTATAATAATTGGGCGCATGCAAGTAATAAACGAACGAATCTACAAAATCATATACACAAGAAATATAATCATTTAAATGTGAAATGCATGTAACTAACAAAAATGAGTCAACAAAATTATATTGATTTACTAACCGCATCACCGATGGCGATAAACAGCAACTCAAAGCGTCAATCTCTATCTATTTTGATATGAGTTACCGACCCAGGATTTTTCAGCTTTAAATTATGATAATAAGCCGGTAGTTGGGCAAACGATGCTTCTGGCGACCCCTCAACAATTCCAAGGCATAACATTTGGCTCTCCAAGCTTAAGAATATGAGATACTAATCTTGAACCGAACATTCATGTCAGTCATAATTTCATATCCCCGATATACCCTGCCATTCAAAAACATTAACTCAGCCAGAAAACCACCCAACACCTTTTTGTTTGCCTGTCTATGGTGAGGAAAAGCTTGGGTTCTTGAACATGTATGTTTATCAATAAAAGTTCTAACTTGAAACATTTCACAATCTTTTATCCTCTTTGCAATCATACGCCACGTACAGTTTTTGTCAATCATACACCTTGTTTCGAAACGATCTTTGCTTGATTTGTTAACTTTTAGTTGATAGCCATCTTCCACACATTTCGTATACAAAGCTATCTTCAATTCTTCCTTTGTATCAAAACAATCATATTTCTTGATACGAATAGTTTTGTGTAACAATCAATTGCTATTTTTACCAACTCTTCTTCCGGTATCTGAAGTAATTCTGGCATATTCCAGTTATACTCCCGTGGCATTTTCTTCGGGGACTTTTCTTCGGGGGATTTCTTCTTCTTTTTCTTCTTCAGGGTTATATGAATTATAGAATGGATGTTCAACATGTTCATTCACAGTCGTAACTTCCTCCTCATTATCATCAACAACATCTTCCTTGGCAGCGTCTGTTTCATCATCAAAATTCGGGTATTGACCAATATCAAAATTATTACACGTAGGGTTTGTTTCTTGTTCTGAAACATCATCAAAATCCGAGTATTGACCAAGATCAAAGTCCGAGTATTGACCAAGATCAAATTTCGAATACTGACTAGTACTCACAATTTTTTCTGTTGACTCATCATCGTCTAACTGGTTAATACGAAAATCGAAATTTGGTGCTGAAAGTTGATTGGGATTTGGATTAGGGAAAGGTTGTGGGTTTTGAGATTGTGTTTGGTATTGGAAATGTGGTGAAACAAAATTTGCTTGGTGATGAAATTGTGGTGGAACCATTAAATTTTGAGCACCATAAACTGGGGTTGAAAAACTTAGTTGATTACTACCGGCTATTGACCCAACTTCACTACTTCTAGGTTCAACAACATACAATGTAACATCATCTTCCGAAACACTAATGTAAGCAATGAATCGTTCAACATTTTCATTGTCGGTTAACAAATTAACTTTACCTTTTCTCTGATAAGATAGCCTAAATCCACTTAAGGCTCTAAATTCAATTTATTTGCAACGTAACTTAGAGTTTCATAAGTTAACTTTTTTAATGACAGTTTTAGTTGAAGATTCATGGGTAAAGGCATATATTGTAAAACACCATGAACATTCTCCCATGACCCTCCAAAACACAAATCTATCCAAACATGATCAACATTAGATGATTTCATTATTGTAAATTTACTAAACAAACGAGCTGCGAAACTAAAACCTGTTGCCGGGATGGGGAAGGATGTCGTTGGATATAGGAACGGATGTCGCCGGAGAGAGTGATAGATGAGATGGAATGAGTTGCGATTTAGGGATTTAGGTTATGAGTTGCTTCTGCTGCGTAGTTATATACCCAAAACATTTGTGTTGCGAAACTAAAACCTGTTGCGAATTTGAAATTCAGTGTTGCGACAGTCAGAATCGCTTTGCGATTATGTATTATCGCGTTGCGATAGTCAGAATCGCGTTGTGATTATGTATTATCACATTGCGATAGTCAGAATCGCATTGCGATTTACATATTCGCATTACGATTTTTCAAAATCGCAACGCAAATTTGGAAAATCGCAATGCGATAGTCAAAATCGCGTTGCGAATTGATTTGCGATATTGGAGATCGCATTGCGTTGTAAGATATGTGTATATTGTCAATAGGTTAATTTTTTTTTGGTAAAGATACTATATTGTAATTACTCCAAACCATTAAAAAAATAAGTTCTAAAGGTTTATGAGAATTCAAAATTCTCAGTGTATTATAATTTCAAGTTTCATCTATTATTTAACATAAAAATATAGTGAATTATAATTAATATTGTGTTAAGTTAAGCCATTGAGATATTTCTCAATTTTAAATTTTAAGAGTTTTATTGTGAGAAAATAGATTTAACATATCATGCTAATATTTCTTAATGATATTTGATGATAGTAATTATAAGGATAAAAAATTAGTGATGATATTGCAAGTTTTCAAATATCAGTGACCGAAATATAAGAAAAATAAAAAATTGATGACTATTTATTCAGTTTAACCTAATAATAATAAGATCTTCAAGAAAAAAAGGGTTAACAATCTCATCCTTCACTAATACAGGCTTCGAACACGAAAACCAGTAAAAAAAAATCCGAGTCAAAAAGAAAATTCGAAAAGAAGGAACCGAAATCCAAAGCCAAAAATCTTCTTCCAAGTGTTCCATCATACACCGCCAAATGTACACCTTCAGCTGTTCCATTTTGCCAACAAACAAACCCCGCAGATGCCAAACGTAGCATTACCCGATCTCTCAGTCTAATCCTAACCCTAGACTGAAGAGAAGAGGACGATGGCGAAGCACGCGGCCGTTGGCTGGGGCCACCACCACTTACAGAACCGTTGGCTTTTGGCTCTTCTCCTAATGCTTTCTGTTTCAACTATTATTGCCTTCTTCATGAGAGCTGCCTTCGATTCGTGTGATCGGAACGTTTCTGCTGCTGTTGATGGTATCGGCTCTGCTCGGAATGTCATTCAAGCCTCCGAGAAACGAACGCCGCAGATCGCTGCTGCAAAGCCGAGTCCCCTCAGTTTTATGAAGTCGAAGGTCGTTCTGCTGGTGTCGCACGAGCTCTCTCTTTCTGGTACTCTCCTTGTTTTTATTTCTGTTAATAGCTATATTTAGTGAGTTCAGCCGCTTTGGAATTCATTTATGATATTTTGGGTGAATTTCAATGTATTGGAATTTGTTTTAGTTGCCTTTCTTTTACTGTGAGTGACTTCATAGCGTTTATTTACTGTATGATTGTTTCCATTGAAGTATCATTGCAAATGAACCGAACTTATGTTCAGTAGTTTTGAGGTAGCTGTCTGCATCATCTATGGGATGCCCTTGCACGGTTGTAACTGATCCGTGGACACGTATAAATGAGTTTTATTATCGTATAGAGGAACAAGCAGAGGATGTGCGAGGTTTCTTTCGGTTAGTGTGTTGTTCTAGCCATGCCCAAAATTTTTAAAGCCATTTCTGCTGGGTTTTTTGATTCAAGTAATTAATAGATGTATTTGCATATGCATTCATTACTATTTGTCGAATGTCAGATTTAATATCATGGCTATCATTGAAAGCATATCATTTTCTATAAGTTTCTTTAGTTTACATGATGATATCTGCACATTCTCATATCATGTTTGGTAACTTTAGTTTCATCCTAAAGTACGAAAAAGAGAAAATATGTAGATCCATTATGGCCTTTTGTGTCTTAACTTAATCCCTTTATCAATTTTGCTAATTTTGGCACTCAGTAAAATGCATTCCACGTGTGTGCTGGTATCTTTGAGGTTTAATTACTTTTTGAGGCTCTGTTGACATGCTTGTTATGACCATCCTATATTTCCTATAGATGGAAATAATTATATCATAATAAATTCTGAGATTCTTGTTGACTCCTAACTCTCAAGTACTCTGCATGTAAATTATAGAATGTCGTTTTGGCATGTTGCTGACATGTTCTCTAAGTGGTTTGTGCATATAAAGAATCTTCTTGTCGTGAACCTCGTGGTGCAATGTTAATTTGTCCTTGTTACCCCTCTTGACTAATCTTTTTTTCCTGAATTTTGTTACTTTTTGGTTATAAATAATGTATTTTGCTTCCAGCTGTCAATGAGTGCACACCTTGTCTAAGCATGAGATCTCTAAATCGTAGTTTATCTACTCTTTCATAAACAAAATTTCTTTTTTCATATATGACCCTTTGCTGGAAGACACATTTATTGTCAGAAGAAAGCTTATTCTTTGACATTTGTAACTATTATCTTTCTTTGTGAAGATGCTTTTTAGAATTCATATATTTCATCATATGACGATTCCTGTCTTTTTTTCTTTTTACTATAGGTGGACCACTGTTGCTGATGGAGCTGGCATTCCTATTAAGAAGTGTTGGTGCCGAAGTTTATTGGATTACAATTACAAAAGCATCTGAAACAGATGAAGTAACATATAGTTTAGAACATAAGATGCTGGACAGAGGAGTACAGGTACTCAGATTACTTCACTTTGTTTAATTGTTTCTTTATCCATTTATGGTGCTTTTACTATATAGTTGTGAACTTTATTCCCCTATATGATGGATTAGCATTCCATCTGGGAGAGCCTTTAGATAATTTGTTTTTAAATATTTACCTTCCTTCTAATTAGTCTTTTACCTGTCTTTTAAGGTTTTCCCGGCTAGGGGGAAAGAAGCTTTAGATACTGCTCTAAGAGCTGATCTGGTTGTTTTGAACACTGCTGTTGCTGGGAAATGGCTGGATGTTGTTCTTAAAGAAGACGTTCATCGTGTTTTGCCTAAGGTGTTGTGGTGGATCCATGAAATGCGAGGCCATTACTTCAAATTAGACTATGTAATGCATCTTCCTTTTGTATCTGGTGCTATGATTGATTCGCATGTTACAACTGAATACTGGAAGAATAGGACTCAAGAACGTTTGAAGTAAGCTTCAAAATCTTTGTGTCTTCAATCTCAGTGTGCTTATTGTTGCTTTTAAAGAATTGCTGTTCATTCTGCATGCATTGCAACAAAAACCCAAACAAGCTCTTTTGTGCATTTAGTTCCTCCGTTGCTCCATATGTTTCACATTTCTTATGTCTAATTACACATTTGAGTGTTTTTCCCTTCTCCAATTCATTTTCTTTTTGTAGGATTAAAATGCCCGATACCTATGTTGTTCACCTAGGAAATAGCAAGGAACTGATGCAAGTTGCAGAAGACAGTGTGGCTAAAAGGGTTTTGCGTGAACACGTTCGTGAATCTCTTGGAGTGCTCAATGAGGATTTACTCTTTGCCTTAATAAATAGTATGCTTCAGTTTTCATCTTGAATGGATTTTTCTCTTCTTTTCCTTCACTTTACTCCATAATGCACCTATTTTTATAGAGATCCTCCTTTCTATCTGATAAAAAATAGAATTGTCAGGATTGGCTTTGTCGATTGTATAATTATTTTTACTGGGAAAGTAACATTGGCTCAGTCCTCAGTGATTTCAATTTGATGCTATTTATGCTGTTTTATTGAATGCTCAAGTCTTTTCTTTGGTGAGATTGAGATATTGTCTTTTTGAAGAAAATTGAAAATCATGTAGCTTCTTCAATTGTTATGTATCGACTCTCCTGCATTTTGAGTTCTGTCTGGCAGTTAGGAACAATAGTTTGGTTTTATCGATAAACTTTTCTCCTAAATTTTACATTTCTCCCTTGAACTATCATTGTATTGTTTTCAATTAATCACCAGTTTGCTCTAATGTATGCTTTCCTCAATTTTCTTTTGTATGCCGAGGCATATAAAAGAAGGCAGAAAGTGGGGGAAAACATTTGAACTAAAAAGTGTATGGTTTCTGCTTTTTGTCACTAAGTTGTATCAAATTCCTTCCACTGCAGGTGTTTCACGGGGAAAAGGCCAGGATCTCTTTTTACGTTCCTTCTGCGAGGCCTTGCAACTGATCAAGGAAAAGAAAATGCAGGTACCGCCACTGCATGCAGTAATTGTGGGAAGTGACATGACTGCTCAGACAAAATTTGAAATGGAATTACGGGATTACGTATTGCAGAAGAAAATTCAAGATCGTGTTCATTTTGTGAATAAAACTCTGACAGTCGCACCATATTTAGCTGCCATTGATGTTCTTGTGCAGAATTCCCAGGTAATCTATGTGGTTTAAAGGATTTTCTTTTTTAAATATAATGTTCACTTCAATCTGTGAAATTAATCTAATTTGCTTTCTGGTTGGTGTAAGTGTTGCTCCTTCAGTTGTTTGCATAATTATAATATAAAGAAGCTATTGGCTGTTTTATTATCTGGATACGTAGGATATACTCAGGAAGATATTTGAAGGTCCGTTTACACTTTACCATTAGAATTCACTGATGTGACTGATGCCTCGATAAGTAGATAACAAGTCTCAGCCAGTAGTCCAATTAGCAATGTTGAGAATTGACTTGACGACATTGTTTTCTGGTGTTTAGAGAGCTAGCACTTCTTACGTGATAATAATGGTAATTATGGTTATGTTTTGTGTCCGTTTTTCCATTGTTGTTCTTACATGTCTCCAAGCTGCATAATGTCACAGTCACCAAATAATCAAATGGTAAAGGCATAAAAAATGAACAATAAATTGCTAGAGTAATGTGCATCTATGGACTGGAGGGAGAACTAATTTATTTGAGTAGATTCCTTGATGCATATGATGGTTTTGAATTTCTGATATCCGTGTAGGCTAGAGAAATGTGCATCTATGGCTTGTTCTCTTCTTCAAAGTTACTTTAAATATAAAGCGAAACAAAAATTTTTTTCCTTGCGTTTAGGCACGGGGAGAATGCTTTGGACGGATAACAATTGAGGCCATGGCATTCCAGTTACCTGTACTGGTAATCTATGAACTTTGCCTGATTTTCTTTTACTCGTACTTCTGAGTGTTTGATAAATAAAACATGTCGAACTCATTAACTGCTCATATTTTCTATGGCAATAGTCATTGGAGCTGGATTTTGATACTGACACATGCCATATGCAAAAATAGGGAACAGCTGCAGGAGGCACCACGGAAATAGTAGTGAATGGGACTACAGGTGTATTACATCCTGTCGGAAAAGCAGGGGTTACACCTCTTGCAAAAAATATCGTCAGACTTGCTACTCATGTGGAGAGGAGGCTTACGATGGGAAAGAGAGGGTACGAAAGGGTCAAAGAAAGATTCTTAGAACCACATATGGCCGAGAGAATTGCTGGAGTACTGAAAGAAGTGTTGAGGAAATCTAAAATCAAATCAGGTAGACACCTGGATTGAAACCCCGTCGTAACAATGGGGTTAGATCCAGTTTCAATCAGTACAGTATTCGTGGCCCAAAGTACAGGCTAAAATAGGATGCATTTTTCTTTTTCTCATGGAGTGACACATCTTCAGTTATTTATGGCCTAATTTTTATGTCTCCGGTTTTCCTTTTAGGGATGTAAATTATGTATGTGCTAAGTCAACTTTCAGCCGTTGATATAGTTGAGAAGTTCATTTGAAGGTAATGTGGATTTTTTTTACTTATCATAGCACTGATTTCCTCGGTAATGGAACGTGGTAGAATAAGGTATAAATGCAATTCCAAGTTTGGTTGGAGAAAGAGATAAATAGGTGATTGATGAATTGCCCGAGAGAGATTGATTTCCTGGAAAGAGTTAATTGTAGCAGAGAATTGTTTGGTCAGTTGCCTTTGAAGGATATGTTGGCATGGACGGCAATGGTTACATGATATGCTAAGCCTAGAGAGGCATTGGATTGTCTGAGAGAATGCAAAATGAAAACAGCTGAGGTTACTTTTGTTGGAGTTATTTCTGATTGTGTGCAACTAGGTGCTGCAAAGTAATTGAACTGGATTCAGTATATCGTTGAGTTTGGGGATTAATCCTGCTTGTTGTGTTGTGGTGGGATCGGCTTTTATTGCTGTGTTTAAAGACTGGAAGCGTTGAGGATGCATATAAGGTTTGAGGAAATGGAGGAAAAGAACGTGTGTTCATATAATATAGTTCAATGTGCTTATGCGGCATTGGAATTGTTTCATGAAATGGTGAATAAAGGGATCAAACCTAAGAAAGTTACATTTATTGCATTACTTCCAGCATGTAGTCATTTGAAAATGGTGGAACAAGGGCGTCAAATATTTGCAACTATGGAGGATAAATTTAGGAGTTGATCATTATTCTTGCATGGTGAATCTTTTTGGTCGAGCTGGACTCCTACGAAACGCGCTTAAACTTGTAGAAACAATGCCAATTGAACCTATGGGGTATTTTTTTTCCCCGGAGGGGGTGGGGCATTGCTTGGATTGCCCAGATTGATGCAAACATTTTATTTGAGCTGGAACCTAATGCAACTAGAAACTATATCTTGCTACCTAACATATATGCTTCAGCCGGGCGGTGGAATGATAAGGAAACTGATGATAGAGAAAAAAATCCTGGATGTAGCTGGTTGGAAGCGAAGAAGGGTGTCATTGAGGAGTTTCTTTGCCGGGGCCATGATGAGATGAAGCAGCTTTTACAACGTTTCGTGAGAGAGTGAATGTGTGTTTGCTGAAGAGAGGAGGAGAAGAAGAAGCAGAGAGAACGTTGAAAGATTAAGTGCATAGCGTGTGCTAAGGCTCACGTTCTCTAGTGTGCGTTGTGTTGTAGATGAGCTAAGCCTAGGGTTGTTAGGTCGTTAGCTCAGCGGTTAGGGCTTTTAGATCTAACAGTTTTCAGCAACAGCTTTAGCACTTGTGTGCTATAAAAGAAATGTATTGCAAAAGCTTTATGAATAAGAGAAAAGATATTATAATTCTTTCTTTCTTAAATTCATAATATTCCACATGTCGGAAAAACTCTAGTTCAAGGTTTGAGATACTAGATAAAACCTTAGAAGTTAACAATTTGGGTGATAATCAAGATCAAGAGGGTTCTATCACGAGGAAGGAGGAAATTATAGTTGATGGGAGGAAAGTTCCTAACTCAAATGTTAAATCAAGCAAGTAGTGATATTCTAAACAAAAATATAAGATTCTTATAGAGGAGAATATGTGTTTCAATGGCCCAAGACAATTAGATAACTTTGCAGTAATAGCCTTGAAAGGAACGATAGCCCAAGATATTTTTTCTTTAAATCGAGATAAACATGTTGCTATTAACGTGGTTGAAAATTATGAAAATCAAAACCAGAAGACCGAAATGTTCGACTATTGCAAAGCTCTTTCAGTGATACATATTCATTAAGGTCGAACAAGGGTTTAATTGCTGTTGAGGGACTCCCGAGAAAAGGCATAAAACAAATAAGGTGAGGAAGTGTCGAGTAAACCTGTTTTACACGAATGAGTGTCGACCATGACTTGAATTTTGAATCGAGCAAACACTATTGGTACTAATCAGTAGTAGAGCCACAACCAACTCGAGCAAATTCTAATGACTTAGTCTAATGAAGAGCGAAAAATGTGTTCGACCAGATGGATACTGCTGAAATGTAGGTTTAAGCTTGATACATTTGTATTTTTTTCCATTTTTATTTATGATTAGAATCATTTGTTGGAATGTCCAGGGTGCTCTTGACCATGTATTTAATCATTATTTTAAGTTATACAAAGTAGACACCAGATATAATGTCGCTATTTGAACTAAAAAGTAATGAAATTGTGACTGATGCATTTATACAGAAATCTGGATTTGGTTTTTCTTATATAACAGAAGCCATAGGTTTTTATGGTGGGATTTGGGTTTTAGGGAAGGATTCAATTCATTTTAACGTTCCTGCTATTTTTGTTAGTGTGTGTATATATATATATATATATATCAAATATTGAAAGACGTAAGTCTTTGCTTTTTGTTCGTATCTGAGGCATTTAAAAAATGCTTGAGAGGTCGCGTGATACTTACCGCTTGAGATTAGAGGTTGAGCTTAAAAAGGAACTAAATTTGGTGTTGATGCAAGATGAGAACCTTTAACATTAAAAGGCTCGGAGTATTTGGATCGTCATAGGCGATAGAGATACCAAGTATTTCCACGCCTCTACTTTAATCTAAAGAAAACATAACATGGTCAACATGCAGAAGTTATCGGATGGCTCTAGTTGAGGTCATTTATGAATTCCAGGATCACAATTGGTATACAAGGATCTGTCATGTATTCCGAGAATATAACATAACTACAGACTGCCCAGTTGCTCTGAGTCAAGGTGCTTCTATTAGCGTTATAGAATTTATATAACCACCAGTGGACATGGCTGCTATATTGCAGAAAGATCACTACTTCACTAGTTAGTTACTAGATTTGTTCGTATTACCAAAAAAAAAAAGGGCCCAACAAGTCATTTGTGTCATTTCTACAATAATAATTTGTTGGAAGATCCCAATGATGAAATGACAAAGGATATGTTGAAGAAGCACATACTTCAGAATTAATGTGATGTAATAGTTAACTACAAAGATTGGATAATAAGAAAGTGTTCGATGATAAATTTGTGAAATGTAGAGTGTTTTTCGATTAAACAAACATTGAATTCGCGCTGAAGAGGATAAAATAGATTTGATGTAAACATTTAGGACTCATCGGATGTTGTTGATGATAGTTGACAATGGACGATACGGTGGTCAAAATCTAGATAGATAATGAGAAAAAGAGAGAAAAAAAGAAAAAAGAGGAAAAAAGAAAATAGAGGGACATGAGTTTTATATAGATCCAAAACAATATCGTTAGGTGTAAACTTGATTTTTCCAAAATATCATCGTTTTGGTTTTGTGTGTCATGTCATAACACCATTAACTATTTATCAATAGAGTGATTAAAATAGAAACAATTACAAATTTTAGTAATTGAATTAAAAAAAATTTAAACTTTAATAAACAAAATAAGAGTGAGAAGAAAGTAAAGGGATAAAAAATTATACTTTACCCATACATTATTATTATTTTTAGAAACAAAATGGATTATTGGTGAGACTCAGCCAATTGAACCACTACTTGTGGGATAAAACGTTAATATTTTATTATTAAAATAATACTATTTTAGTGAAATAAAATTCATTAAAAATATTACGGTTGCACTCGCTAGTTTATATTAAAAATAATTTGTCTGAATTTGTTGAATAATTTCAGTGGTAATAAAAAAACATTGACCCTCTTAAAGATATCAAATTTTAGTAGTTATGTTTGTATGTGTATTTATATTATCAATAACTAAGTAAGATTATGAACAAATATTATCAATAAAGCAAGAAATGGTCCGACTAAATTTTTTTTATCACCTATGTTATATTAATCAATAAAGCAAGAAATGATGAAAACAGAAAATATCATGATTTTGCACACGGAATGAAAAGCAAATGATTTTTTGTATTTTAAATTTAATATTTTTATTTTATATATTTTGAATAAATTTATAATTATTTGAAAAATGAACCTTGCATCGTTCAGCTGTGAATATTAACCAGTTATGAGATCAATCATTCAATAGGTTAAGGAAAGTCAAGGTTAAAAGTCACCAAATCTCAAAAGGTTTAATCGCTTTTTTGCTTAAGCTTATTACTTTATCTTATTGATAAAATAATAAAATCAAGAGTTGGCAAAAATTTCAATCAAAATGAAAAATGATGGTTAAGATCATGCCCTATAATTAATTTTATTGTATTATATATTTTTATTATATAAAATCAATTCTTATAATATATTTCTATCTTTATTTTTAATGAAATCTTTGATTGATCGAGTAATACGAAGACTCAACGTGGTACAAATTTAATTTGTTAAAAAAGTTCTGAATAAATATTATTCTTATAATTATTTTATTAAAAAATAATTAAAATATTCTTACTAACATTTTTATAATATTATTATAAAGTAATTTTTGTGTAGGTTACTTGTATTATTAAATTTGAAGAAACCACAACCTTTCTTCCGCAACATAACGTGGAATTCTCACCACTAAACTACAGCCAGCCACTTTGTTGATCCAAAGCCAAAGTTATTTTCTATGGAAAGTTTAGATTGAAAGTTAACCCATAAATAGTTGGTGCATGGTGATGATATTCTTCCTAGTAAAAGCCCTGAATTTGATGAAAGGGACAGAACATATTACTTTGGTCCCACCCAAGGGTAAAACGAAAGCATGGTCCCTGATACCAGGATTTGCTGCCTCCATTTGCGCATTTATTCTTCTAGGAGGACTCAAACACACCCTTGTCTTCTTCCTCTTTAATGCTCCCAACTTTACACCTCCTTTTCAGGCTCTCTGCCACTTCTTTACAGCCCTTCCTTTCCATCTCCAGTTTCACCTTCATCATTATGCTTTGCTTCCATCCATTATGTTCAACATTAATTAATTACTTATTCAACAAATTCTAGAAAAGACCAAAAAAAGGGTATAAAGCTATAATCCTTTCATTGAAATTCTACATTGTTCTTCTTGTGTTTCTGCAGATCATCAACTGATGAAAGATGCCAATTCTGTGGTGTAGGAACTGCAGAAAAGTGGGAATCTTCCTATTCAATATTCAACTAAAAAAGTAGAGAATGCTTTAACCTTGTTTATACTACTACATACAATGACAGAAAAAGGTATTCTGATATATATATTAAGTAGTAGAAAGATTGTTGTGTGTATATATTGTAGCAGAAAGATTACTGTATTTTATGCCCTTGACATTATTTTTTTAGCATAAGCATATAATGCATCCCAGCGTGGATTCCAATTGGGGGCGGCCTATATAATGCAAGTGGATTAGACAGTGTAGGTGCTCTTTCTTACTTTGAATTTAATATTCAAAGGCCATCCCCCTTTTAATAACATTAACAAAAATGTCATCTTGGTATCCCAATGGTCATCCAATAATTGTATAGTTTTAAGCCCTCACTTACTATATACATATATGATTTAATGCAGAAAGTACTGGTCTTTAATCATGGAAATAAGTGGTGGTGAACAAATCTGTGGTGGTGTAGTGACAAAAGACTCGGGTTAAAATCGAGTCGGATTCATATTCAGGCAACTCCTCATCGAAAAAAGAAAAGAATGGAAATAAGGGGTGTATGATGGACAGCCTCAGCCTGCAGGGGAAAGTAGAAGAGAAGGCAAACAACAAATTTGCAATCTTGCCCATATCTACCTTTTTTTTTCCTTTGAGCCAACTTTTTGGGGTTTCATATAATTTGATTATTATTGTTATTATTATATATAGGCTTCTTTCTGGTGAAAAGGCACCTTAGTTTTGTTTAATAAAACAATTGTCAAAGTTGAGTACCTTCAATATTAGCTAGTTTTTAATGTTTAGCCTCTCCATTGATGCATGCTTGAGCTGATCAAACCATTCTGAAAGTTAAGTACCATAAATACTGCCTGCTTAACCGAAGTCGAGAGATCGAGAATAACTTAAGTTATGGAGGTCAATTGCAGTGAACATCGGCTATAGAAAAAAGATGAAATCACAAAATAACGATAGTAACATCATGTTGCAGTCTGCTCACAGAAATTCATGCATACAAAGCAAAGTACCATTTCTCTTGTAATGGACGTGCTACCAAGTATAAAGACTAGCTATAAACAATTAATCATATTCATATATACATTA